ATTGAAAAAAATACAGAGTATTCTTTTATCTCACTTAGAGGAGAGCGGATGTTTGTTAACGGGAGAGGAGTCTCGGTCCAGACCTGACGGACGTATGTTAACGACATAGGCCAGGAGTTAGAGGGACTGCTTGTGCAATTTTATTACAGACGTAAGTGTTGACTATATGACCAGCACACATGGCCATATTTGTACACATGTCATTATTGGAAAGTGGTGCATTGGTGCCCTCTAAAATAGGGTGTCATCGGAGAAAAAAACCCCATAATATATACGAAGTGTATATATATGGGAGAGAGGAGTTTGTGTACGAAACATACAAATGTGGGTCATGTGGGTTTGGAGCTTGAGGAGATAAGGGAGAGGGAGGAAGAGAAGACTGAGAATCAAAAGGAAAGATAAAGGAGTTGCCAAGATAAAGAAGCCACATGGAGTGCCACTGCGCATGTATAGAGCCCGTTTGGTAGCACCAAAATCGGCTGTTTTGGCTGATTCTGCTGAAATTTATGATATTCTGGCTGGAGTGGCTGTTTTGGCTGATTCTGCTGATTTAAGAAAAAAATATTTTAAAAATATATTTTATTAATAAATTAAAGAAAAAATTATATGTAAAAATAGCTAAAATGGTCCTCTACAGTAACTTCAGCCAATACAGCCAGAAAAGTAACTCCAACCTTACTTTTTCGGCTTATTACACAATTCAGCGCGCGAAAGTAAAAGTTACGTGTTTGGTGAAAAAGCTGGCTGATAAGCCTGATAAGCCGAAAACAGAGTTCTCCAAACGGGCTCATAATTTGACTTGCTAATCGGTTGTTGAACGTGCAATAGTTTGATTTGAGCGTTTTTAAAACTTAAGGATTTGATTGAGTGATAATTTAGTATGCATAGTACTGCCAGAGCTTATTTGACAATTTTACTTTTATATAATTATGAGCCCGTTTGATGACTCCCTTTTTCGGCTTATCAGGCTTATCAGCCAGCTTTTTCACCAAGCACGTAACTTTTGATTTCGCGCACTGAATTTTGTAATAACCAGAAAAAGTAAGGTTGAAGTTACTTTTCTGACTGTATTGACTGAAGTTACTGTAGAGGATCATTTTAGCTATTTTTCATATAATTTTTATTTAATTTATTAATAACAAATATTTTAATTTTTTTTTTCATGAATCAGCAGAATCAGCCAATAGAGCCCACTTCAGTCAGAACTTCATAAATTCTAGCAGAATCAGCCAATTCAGTCAATTTTAGTGTTACCAAACGAGCTCTATATATACTATATTCTTATCGAGACTCCAAAGCATCTTGCCATTACAACATGGAAGGATCTATGTACGGGCTATGGTAGTCTGAAGCCCAGGACAAATTAGAAAATTTTCAATTTTTTTAGTGTAATTTTTTTCATTTTTCATATTTAGCCCACCCCGCTAATATTCATGCCTAGTATAATTCCTATTCAGTCCAGGGCATCTCAGATTCTTGAATCCGCCCCTGCATTACAAGGTTCTAAAATATGATGAAAATATTCTATCATGAAAACTTCACTTTTGGCCGTTAAAACTTTTTGGTAAAAGGTATACACGAGTACACGACTATTTTGGATTCGTCACATTATAATTCACTTATTTATGACACTTAATTACTTAAACACTTTGTCATCATCATTGGTGACTTTTAGTGACAACGAATTTGTTACATATGTATCACGGAGCAGCATATTTGTCATCTCGAGACGAGTTTCTTATCCATAGTTAATACTCCATCTGTCCCTAAATTTACTTCCATTTCGCTTTTCGAGAGTCAACTTAAATTACTCTTAAACTCTTACTTTTTGTATCAAAACTTTATGAAAATTGATTTTTTTTGTGCAGGCTTTGTAGCGGGTTTAATGTAGTTTCTGAATATGTAAATTTTATTTACTAAAAATAATCCGAGTTTTCACAGGGATCATTTAACTTTATCGTCGGTCAACCTTCGTAATCCGCAATCGGAACAACATTCAGGGACGGAGGGAGTACAAAAAATGACAACATTGTCATTAAAAATGTATGACAAATAACGTTATAAGATGTACTATCGTATTTACTTTGCTGGTCTGACATATTTAAGTCTAATCCGGTCTGGTGTGAACTGGTCTGGCCCGATATGGTAAATGCCCGATCAGGGTTTATCATGATCTAGTTTGTTTATGGCTGGGATAATTCTATTCACAGCCCCCAAATTGCTATTCACAACCAAATAAAATTTTAAATATCTAAACTACCCTTTTTCCGATAAGAAAAACAACCGGCTCTGTCTCCCCTCTCTCCTGGAAGTGTTCATCAAAGATATCACTCATTCAATTGTTTCTAACATCCCCTCAGCCGGCTTTAAATGGAAATCCATGTTAGGCCTCAGGTGTTCTGGTAATTACTAATTAGGATCGTCGTTGTTTGCCATTTGCCGGATCCTCCAAATTACTTTGGAAAAACGTTTCAAATAATTTGGAGTACTCGATTTTTTTCTATTCGCTTATAAGAGAGAAACTAAAGTTGTTGAGAAGTCAAACGCTAAAAATCGGTAAATATTTTCTCGATTAGAACAAGCTATCGAGAAGAAGGCTAATAGCAATTGCTGGGAGACTGAGTCTTCTAAGTACGATGAAGAATGAAAGAAAAACAAACACATGAGATTAAACTCTGGTTCTATGTGAATGTATTCTCTTTCAATTTAAGCATTTGCATAATTAAAAGGAAGCTTGATTTGATTAGGTATGGCATGATTGGACTTTCTGCAAACTTCTTTAAGAAACAAAAGCCTACTGGAAGAGATAAATTGATCGATCACTTCTCAAAATTTGTTCCAAAGTAGCTTTTTAACTGCTTGTCTTCTGAAGGCCTCCATCCCTGTGCTTAGCTTGGCTGCTTTTCTCGTTCAACAAGGATAATTTAGATATTTGTTTAATTAAGTAGCTGTTAATAGCAATTTGGGGGGATATGAATAGAATTGCCCTTATGGCTGATCTCATTTGGTCTGATCTGTTTTAGTCTGTTATGATCCGGAACGAAAACCCGCCCAAGTAAAAACTCAGGACATATTTACTTCACAGGTCACTAAACGGTGCTCATTAAGACATGCGTTAATAAGCAACGCGTAAAATAAACAATGATATAAGCTCATGTTTACTTCACATGATTTAAAACACCGTTTAACATTACAAAATGTCCAAAATAACATTATACATATATAGACACACAAACATTCATGTACACAAGCATATAATATAATATGTGGGACCACCCCTACCTTACCCCTACTCCCCTATTACCACCCCCATACGTGTACCGATACCCCTGCCCCCGGTAGCAGTCTACGATTAGGGGTTAGAGGTAGGAGTGGGTGGGAGTGGGGCCTGGTCAAGGGGTGGGTGGGGGTGTGGTCTGGGTAAGGTAGGGCGGGGGTAGGGACAAGGTAAGGATAGAGGTTAGGTAGGGGTGAGAGTAAGAGGTAAAAGGCAAGGATAAAGGTAAGGGTAAATTCGGAAACTGAAAAAGTTTAAAGTGACACTTAATTAATACACGTGGGTGTCGCTTAATTAATACTTCAAGCACTTCTTTCGACTAGTAGTAAACAACTTTTTAAACAACCCGTGTGTTTATATCACTTGTTTTATTAACCTAATCATAACTTTAGTAGCGAAGTAAACACGTTCTTAGTAAGAATTTTTCTTCTTAGGAATGCTCGACAGTCGCCACCTAGACGGAAGATAGATAGTGTCATTACTCATTAGTAGATTGTGGTGGACTACAAGGACTAATAGCGGAAGAAATTCGACATAATTACATAGACATGTTCGCGGTTTCCGGTTAAACCAGAACCGGAACCGTCGGTTTTTGAACCGGAACCGCATAGTACTTCCAGTTTGGAACCGGAGGTTTACTAAACCGGTTCAGTTTCCCCAAAAATGTTGAACCGGAACCAAATGGTTCCGTTTCTGAACCTCTTTTTTTTATTAAATATTTATTTATAATACTATTAATGTTATTAATAATGATAGAAATTATAATATTATTTGCATTAATTGTATTAAACATTATAAAGTTACTAGTTAGTACTCCTTAATTATTACTTATTGCTATACTAGTGAATATTGTTTCGGATTAAAATTATTATTTATAAGTATCCATTATTTATTGATAATTAAATTATATAACAATACTAAATTATTAATGAGAGATACTTATTCTTGCAACTACATAGCTATATATTAACTATCCCATTTTTGTACATAGTTTTAACAATAAGAGATTTTTATTGTAATTTTTGGTAACTCTTTTATTAATTTATTTAAAAATACTAAACTTTAATATTTAAAACATAAAAATAAAAATAAAAATGGAACCCGAAATCGAACCGGTTTCGAACCGGAACCGGCGGTTCGGAACCGCCTTGAACTGACCGTGAACCGCCTGTTCAGTTCTGGTTCGGTTTCGAACCGGGGACAGATCTATAATTACACATACGAGTATATCAGAGTTTAGAGCATCTCCAATGCTAAAACGTTAATGGTGCATACGTGTGGCATGCGAGATAGCCAATCAGAAAACAATAAATGAAATATCTCTCTCCTTATTTGAAGGATATTATATCATTTTGGTAAGTTTTTCTTCATAGCGTCAAGCACAATGTCTAGATGTAGACATTGTGATTGACATTGCAGAGAAAAACTTACCAAAAATACATAAGATCGTGGAAAGACGGAGAGAAAAATAAAAAATGTCATAAAATCAAACTCTTGTGTGTATTTCTCTCATGCCACATGTGTATAAGACTTTTTTTTATCGTCGTTTAGGTGGGATCTTTAGAAAATATCTAGCATTTTTTTTAAAGTTAGAAAATATCTAGCATGTAAATACGTAAATGCTCTCATTTCAAATTCAAAATAAAAAAAAAACCCAAGTACCGACCTCGACCGATTCAAAAAGAGCCGGAGAGAAAAACCAACCATCCTCGGAATACCATGGCAAGAGTCAAGCAAACAGCAACTAAGAAGAAAGGTCTCGACTTCAGTCAACTTGTTTTTCTGTAGATAAAACTTCTTGTTTTCTATTGCTTCAGAAAAGAAATTCGTTGATCTCCTGGACCCTAATTTACTATCTTCTTCGTTTTCAGGTGCCGGAGCATCCGCTTCCACGAAGCGAGTACGTCTGTATATTTGTGTTTTTTGTATGCTTAGACCCGCGCATTGTAATGTTGTGTTCTCTTTTCGTGGATATAGGTGCCGCAGACGAAGGGTAAGCCGACGAAGGGCAAGCGGAGGAAGGGTAAGCCCACAAAAAGTAAGGCCATATAGAAATTGTGTTTTTTTTAGCATTTCCTTCTTTATTTTTGGAGTAGCTTTAAATATTTTCTTTTTGGGCGGTGAAATTAAATATTTGACAGTTTGGCTTGTTTCGTTTACTAGATTCCAAACCTGGTTCTGCTCCTAGTGAAGCTTCAACACGGAAGCCTCGTCGCTTTAAGCCCGGAACTGTTGCTCTCCGGGAGATCCGGAAGGCCCAGAAATCATGCAATCTTCTTATTCCTAAAGCCCCGTTTGTCAGGCTTGTACGTTGTATCAGTTCTGCTTTTTCCCTAAGCTTTACTCTTAAAGTATATCGTTTGATTAGTATATATACTCTTTAACCTTGTGAATAAGATGATTTCCAAATTGGATAACTAGGGAAATGTCAAAGTGGCTTAGCATGCCAAAACATTTTTTGACTTTCTCCTGAGAAGAACATGAGTGGGAGTCCAAGCTGTATTGAATTTGCTGTCTTTCTATTAAATAAAGTGATAGATTAGAGTGATGTCCCTTTACATCTTCAAGATCCCCATGTTAACTTTGGGCGGGTGGGATGGGGAGAGTTCATTTTATCTTGATATGCTTACATTTAGGAGTTAAAGACAATCTACCAGAATGGGTCGTTGGATAACTCCTCTAGATATGAACCAAGTCTTAAGAATGTAAGGACATCAGGCATAGATATACTTCTCAGTGGCCATTAAATAGTTAATTAAATAGTTAATGGCTCATGCATTATCTTAGTGTGTTTTGTAAATTAATTCATGACTCGTTCTCATAGATCAAGTCAAAATTTGGGTGAAATTATGTGGGCTGTTCATCTTACTAAATGGCTCACATCCACAATCATTCATTTACTTCAAATCTAAGTTAGACCAAAACACCATATGAAACTATGGCGCACTGTACTGTTAATGTGATTTTATTGTGTTTCTCAATTAGAACCTGAGCTGGTTGTGTGCCGTCGTATATTTAATTTGAAAGCTCGAATGCTGTGTAAACTACGTCAAATGAATTATTCATTTTTTATTTTAGTATGTTAGCCTATTTAAAAATTGCATCTGTGCATATGTGATGCCATAGCAAGATTTACAACACTTTGAGAATGCTAAATTTGGAGTTCTTGAGTATTTGCATGTCACTATCAATCAACAAAAAGCAATGCTCTATGACTTTTGTACTGATTTGTGACTGTTTTTCTCACTATGATGTTTTTCATTTCCTTAAAATAGAGTTCAATTTATTCTTAATTATGGCAGACTAGGGAGTTCAGCACATTTTATTCACCGGATATGAAGCGCTGGCAAGCAGATGCTCTTTATGCACTTCAGGAGGTATGACAGTACTGTGTACAGGTGTTTTTGTTATTATTTGTGATTACCTTTTATGTGCATCAAACAACTGGATCCTCTACATTCAACAGATGTGAAGTGAAACTTAATTCTTTCTGTATTTCATTTTGTTAATAACCTATAAAACTATATATATAAATAGGCTAAAGGGTCAAATATGCCCTTGAACTGACTTAAAGTGTTCAATTAGTCCCTTATATAGGAGGTTCTGCCCCGGCCGTCGCTAATTGGGGCGGTTCCCGGTGGAATTTTTTAATGAAATGTTTTTAGCATCTTCTTCATTAAGTCTAGTTTTTACTCATACCAAATTTCAGCTAAAAATTCAACAAGGAAGGCAGTCAAATGATTTTTAAGGTAACTGCAAAGTTAAACAGCGCAATACATTTCGGAAAATCATTTGACTGCCTTCCCGGTTGAATTTTTAGCTGAAATTTGGTATGGGTAAACTAGACTTAATGAAGAAGACGCTCAAAAAATTTCATCAAAAAATTCCACCGGGAACCGCCCCAATTAGCGACGCCCGGCCAGAACCTCCTATATAAGGGACTCATTGAACACTTTAAGTCAGTTCAAGGGCCTATTTGACCCTTTAACCATATATATATATATATATATATATATATATACATACATATATACATATACATACATACACACACATGTACATTTATATACATAAATTTATATATATACACTAGGAAGTTAACATGATCACCGGGGTATGTCCCCAGTATATTGAGTATAATAAAAATTTAGCACGCTAGTGCCTCTTATTAGGTACATGGCTCAACCACAACACAAATATTTAAACAAACTAACCAACTAGCCCACACACTGATGCAGCCAGATGTCACCCCCCACTATCAGTTGCTTTTAAGCCATACCAGTACCTACAAGGGTAAAATAGGTTAGTAATCAACTAGTCGTCTCCGGGGGATGATGGTATAACCTATCTAAAATTGTATACACAATCACCTTCATTTGTGTAATAACTTCAACATTGACTCTATTACCTCCAAAAAGTTCAGAATTCCTTGTTTTCCAGATAGTATAGACTATAGACAGTGCAGCTTAATGGTTGTCTCACCGTTTGACTCCCTAGACTTGTTCCTCTGAAATACTTCTTAAAACATTTCATTGCACTGTTGAGAGCAGACTTCTATTATCATTCCACTTGCATATCTCCTTCACTATTGTACTCGCCTGACACCTGAAAGACGAATCCTAGACAGTTTCCAGGTGGCCATAACATAAGCTGAAGGATCGATCTCCATCGAAAACCAAAAATTTCTTGCAGTATGTGATTCATTCCTGATGCTCAGCCATAAAGTAAAGAGGAACCTAGGGGTGAGGGTGTAACTCTTCCAGATAAAACTCATCCAGGCTTTAGTCACACCTGTGAGCCATAAGAAATCATAAAAATCACAGCCTTGCTATCAAAGCCTCCTGGCTACCAAAGTGGTCTAGAAGTGAATCCTTGAATCTGTCCAGTTGTTTGAGCAGAGAAGAAGCCCTCCCATTGGGAAAATGGTAACATTTTTCAAGTAGACCCCATGGAACTGTTTGATCCATAGGGAGTCTCTTTTGGCATGTATATTCCATAATGTTTTGGAAAGTAAAGCTGCGTTCCAGGCTTTAGGTTCTCTTAGCCTTAAGTCCCCTTCATTTTTGGGTTTGCAAATGTCACCCCAAGCTACTTTGGCTCTTTTCCCACCCCTCAGTAATCCTTCTATACTTCATCAAGTGCCTTATTTGTTTGCTGGGCTTTGATTTTGCAGGCTTCTGAGTCGTATTTGATGGAACTCTTAGGACATGCGCAGCTGTGTGCTATTCACGCCAAGCGTGTCACACTTAGTATGATCACCCCCCACTCCATGAGCTTATTGCAGTTTTTATAACCTAACTTATGAAGTTCTAATAATATGGAAATATGGGATTTGTTTCTCCATACTGGATGTAGATATAGCAAAGTGTTTGGTATCAAGTTCAGCCATTGTAGTTATATTGTAAACCAAAAATGAAATGATTGCTCTAACACACTCATTTTTCCTGTCTTTATTGCTCAGTGAAGAGCGATTTCCAATTGGCAAGGCGCATGACAGGGAAAGGTCAACCTTGGTGATTTGGTGTAGCCACTATTACCTTTGTTGTATAGATTTTTTGTTGGCAATAGACTGTTGAATGGTAATGTGTAGCATATGCTTTTGTTAGATTTACGGTTGCGTTCCAGGTAAATGTAACTGAATGGCAATGGTATATTTGGTAATGTAATGGTAAATCTAGTTATGCTGTTGAATGGTAATTGGTAGATTTGGGGAAAATACCGCAATAATACTAAAACACAAACAATTTCTCAAAATATGACTTAAAAACTCAAAAGTCAGCAATATGACTAAATGTAACTGTTCATGAGTATCTGTGTATTTAAAATGAAACAAAATGACCTCATTGCCCTGAAATGTTCGTCTTCCATAGAGATTAAACTGAAAAGTAATTTTATTAATAAACGGAAACCAAACAATTTTATAGGCGTGTGACAACACTCAACATTTATTGTGTGCGGTACAGGAGAAGGAAACACCTTCTACATAGGCAATTCAAAGGAGGCGTTAACTTGAGGAAGAAGCTAGTGAATTGAAAGAAAGAAAGCAAGCAATAGCGGAGAAAGGGGATGGAGCCTGGAGGAGTGGTGGATGCAAAAAAGACGAAGGAAACCAGGTCTTCAACGACGGCTAGCAACATAATTACAGTGAACAATTGGATTTAAGTCTGCATAGGGTTGGGTTTCCATGCGAGCACACACTAAGCAGAAGTATAGGGACAGTATTACGGCATTGTGGTCGAAATAGATGCGGATTGGAATGAAATGTGGAACTTTTAGGGCCAGTATGGTTGGGGGATTTCGGAGGGGAGGGAAGGGGAGGAGTCATATTTAAATTTAAAATATTTTTTCCATTTAAAAAAATTCAAATAAAGTGAAGACATAATAGTATATAAAAATACATGATTTAACTAATTATATAGTTATTTGGAGTTTAAAACTAAAAAATTCAGATAAATTAATAAAATAAAAAATCAATCCTCCCCTTCCCTCCCCTCCGAAATCCTGCAACCATACTGGCCTTTAATGTCGGACATTGGTCTGCAGTGTCCAAAGAGTTATGGGAGTAGGCCAGTAGTTTAACGTGGGTAATAGATAGGAAATGATATGTATAAAAAGTTACTTTGGGCAGCAAGTACAAGGGAGTCTAATTGTGTATGAGGTAGAGAATGGGTAGTAAGGGCAGTACTGCAGTAGGTAGGCAGTAACTCAAACATGATCTATCTTTCTGTAGAACGAAAAAATGAGGGCAATAAGCTGATTGAGTAAAATAAGAGCACTATTTGAAATACAGAAGCAAGAAGTTTCTTTTGGCGAATACAGAGGCAGTAAGTTTTGTGTGTGTGGCAAATACAGAGGCAGCAAGTTAATTACAGGCATTACAATGATAATGAATTAAAAAGATTACATAGGCATTAAGTTAACTAAAGGTACATGATAGAATTACACAAGCAGTGAACGAGTATGATATGTATGGAAAATAAGGTATGGCCTGGTTTGGCATTTGAAGATTTTTAAAAAAGTGGGAAAGTAGCGAGTATATGTACCCTAATAAGGCACATGTGTTATACAAACATCTTGTTGTTGGCGGAATGATTATTTGTGTTGTTTTAAAGATGTTGTCCTACGTTAATGATATATTGTACGAATTTGGTCATGCACATATGAAGAATATGTAAAAAAATATTGAGTTTGTGTGACAACAGGTAACTAACGCTGACGGAATCCATTGCTAATGCTTCAATAAAATGATTTACTAGGAAGTCGAAAATATGAGTTGGTGAAGAAGAACGTGTTCTGCTCGGTGAAGAAGGAAGTGTTCTACGTGAGATATGAATTAATTATTGGAAAGAATTGCCTTATACGTAGTATTCATTAATTCCTCATTTTAATATAGGATTAAAATAACAGCCCATTTAGTAATTAAAAGGTAAAACTAACTTTTGTATCAATTTCGATGTCAGAAAAAATATTGTTTTTTATTAAACTTGAAAAATAAACATCAAATTTAGAGTTTCTAAATTAAAACTTCAATTCTCAAATTCAATATGGGGTTTAAGTTGTTTTCTAAAATTACATGAACTAACAAATACTCCGTATTTATAACGAAGTATATTAAATCGTATTCTTTAGAATGTTATAGTAATGTTATAGTAGTTCAACATTATTGATTGTAAATGCTTCATTTAGCATCGTTGAATTTCTCTTTTTTACTTCATTTTTTTTGTTTATTTGATCGAAATTACTTGAGGGATATACCAGTTCATTCTCTGATATCTTCCTTGGCATATGTTAGATTGAAAAAATGGTATTGTTAATTGTTACGGAAGGGATTCAGTTCATCCTTCCATATCTTCCTTAGCATATGCTAGATTGAAAAATACAAATACCATAGAAGTATATATAAGAGTCCGTTTGGTAATAATGAAATTGAAAAAATCATCTTAATCGGTTGAAATTATGACTCAAGTGGACAATTAGCTGAATCTGCTAAGTTAGTATATTTTAAATATATTTTATTCATAATATTTAGAAAATATATATGAAAATATAGCGGATGAAGTTATGACTCAAGTGGACAATTAGCTGAATATGCTAAGTTAGTATATTTTAAATATATTTTATTCATAATATTTAGAAAATATATATGAAAATATAGCGGATTTGATCTTGAACAGAAAACTCAATTAATTAAATCAGAAAAGTAATTCTAACTTTAATTATTTAATTATTGCACAATTCATCATGTGTAATTTAGAATTGTGTGTCCAATAAAAAAAATAGATTATAAGACTAATAAACAACAACTAATGGTTATCAAATTATCAATCCCATATACTAGTATTTTAGACCATCAAAAGATCCAAAGCAAAACAAACTAAAAAAAGTGCAAACAAATAAAATAGAAAAAACTAGCGCCATTTACAAAAACGCGCCTGAAACAAAAATCAACACACATTATTTATTTATCAACGAATCGTGATACTTATTATATATATGGACTCAGTCCCGGTGTCATCCCGATTCCGGTCCATGACTGGCAAGTCCTGCTCATTGGTTACTGGTTAGAGAAGCCCGGATCGACTTGGTTAATGGTTATATCCGAGTTTGGGCCGATTTCAGGTACCCGGACGTTCCAGTACCGTTCTATTTATCTTTTTGGTTTTGCCCATTTCAAAGGCTTAAAAAACGTCAGTCCGGACTCCGGACCAGAACCGCCCAGTTCGATCCCCAAATAGGTGAACTGGGACCGGTTACCCTACTTGGGCAGTTGGGCGGACAAGGCCAAAAATCAGAAATTCTAGACCTGGTCCAGTCCCAAACAGTGCCGAATCCGGTTCCGGACCGGGCCAGCCCAAATCCAACCGTGTATGTACCTATGTAGTTATTATGTTTAACAGTTGTATTACTTCGTAAATCCATTTTAATTACTCCGCAAGTCCATAAGAAAATGGTAAGATTTCAGGATATGAAAATAAAGTCCGCTTTGATACTCCAAAAATTGGTACTTTGCTTTTCTTTAATTAGGTAAGCGTTTTGATAATAATTTGCGGAGCAGGATCGATGGTTTGATTTGGGTTAATTTTAACCCGAATAACCGTAAACTAAACCAAACAATGTTTGATATTTATTAAAATGCTTTGTATTTATGTTTACTTTTCACCTTTAGGCTGTAATAATAAAACTTAGACATAAAAGTACATGTTTAATGTATGTCATTTTCTCATGACAAAGTTAACTACTACGAAGTATGTAATAAAATGTACCGAATCTGGTATAAGCCCTACTTTGTTTGAGAAGATTCAACTTTGAGAAAGACTTTCATATTATAAATCCTACAAGAGTTCAACCGAAGTACTTAATCTTTTTGACTTTTTCATGAGTCCTATAACAGAAGTATTACGTTTAAGCCAAGAAAGTTCAAACTTCAAACGGATGAGTAACCATCAGATTATATCGGAATCAGGACTTGGGCTGGGATTACCAATTACCAATTCAGGTTAAAGTTTATATGTTGTGGGAACTGGAAACATACTTTCCCACCCCTACTTCTACCGCAAGTCGTCAAGGTTGGCTAATGGCTACATAACCTACATTCATTCCATATTTGCATCCAGTAAAACACCAAATGGACCATAAGGAAAACTTTCCATTCATCAGGAAGAATAGTTAGCTGGATGTCTTCTAACCACTAATCAATTCTGAATGAAAATATTCCACTTTTTGTTCCTTCTGAACTACGGAATATCACTTAAACGAGGAAAAATCAATAAAAAATGTACAAAAAGTAGCCATTAGTGATTAAATGGACCTTTTAAAAATAAGTAATCAATACTTCAATAGGACCGAAAGTTACAAACTAGTGAATCAACATTCAAATACTCCCTCCGTCCTAGAAAGATTAGCCAAAGTTGACTTTCAGGTGGATTAATAAAGTAAAAACTGTGCGATTGAAATTTGTGTAGATGAGAGAGAATAAACTTCAGTCACATATTCTTTACTCTAAATGGAAATGGCAAATCTTTTTGGGACACCCAAAAAAGAAAATTTGGCCAACCTTTTTGAGACGGAGGGAGTAAAAAAAACGAGTGGATCAACAATGGACATTTGTTCTTGAGAAAGATTTAGCAATTTGCAGGGTCACTCTTTTTTCTATTACAAAAGATGTGATGGTTAAGTCATACGTACATCAACCCCACCCCCGGAGACCCAAATTTTAGCAAAAAATACAATGTTAAGCTGTTCAAAGAATACATTACCTCTAACCGTTCCATACATCCAAAATAAACCTAAGCCAATGGTGGCACAGTTAATTTGTGGGACCAGAAAGAATTTCAACTTTATTATTATTCACTTACTTTACAGCTCTGAATATAAGGATGATCAAACTTTATATACTTGCTCCAAAAAGGCTTGTACTTTGCCATTGCCAATTCTAGCCAAGGTTTCATATTCCCATTATAGTGTATGACTGCAGCGTTCTCAATCTCTGCCCGGTCAATGCTGGGGTTATAACCCAGCCCAAGGACGTGCCATGACTTCTCAAGCGGATGTGTGAGCCCATAGAAAGTTATCAGCCCGGGAGGCAAAGTCCCAAGCTTCCACAGAGCTCTATCTTCATTCTGCGCAAAGATGAATGTACAAATGCATTTAGGGCATGTTTGGATAGGAGAAACATAATGTTATGGAAGATTATTTAAGTGCGCTGTCTATC